CTCAGCCTTTTCCTCTATTTTCTCCATGTCCTGCACCACATAAAGTCTTTGTCTGGTAATTAAAAATAAATAAATGCAGCAGTCAAATGAACCATGTAATGAAAATAGTGGAGATTGGCTAGATCTCCTCCTGATAAGATCAGAGCGTTAAGAAAGAATTGCTGCTCTGTCTACCAGTAATCTGATCAAGAATCACCGTCAAATCTGTACACTCAGAAGAAGGGGGAAAAGATTAAATAAGAAACACAGCAATCCAAAATAGTTACAGGAAGTCAGTTTTTGCATCCTGCTATGTGATAATGTTATAAGATCAAACTCAATTAGAAGCCTTTTTTTTTTTTTTAGTAGTTGGGCATTTTGACAAGAAAAAAGGGAATATTCATTACTATTCTGCAGCAGCCTTTCCTAGCATTTTGACCCAGTGGTCAAATTGTGGTCATTACACCACAATTCCTATAATTCCCAACCAGAAAAGATAGCCAAGGGTGACTGATACCTTCAGCAAATCTGGGGACAGAATGTAGGAAAGGATGTTCAACAACTTCATTACTTTTCTGAAATAAAGGCCATATTTCTCAGAAAAGGGAGCAATGGACTGCTCCTGTGAGTCTTCCCAATTAGGCCAACCTATGTATATAAAACTCCAATATACACATTTCACTATAATTAACAGCAATTTTAATCCCTTCAGCTAAGCACATTAGGGTGGTGTAATGACGTCTCTCAACTGCCTGGACCTTGTCAATATACCTGCAGAATGCTTTGGGAGTGAGAGAGTATTGCTGGCAGTGTGCCCACTAGTAGTAAGCCACTGACAGGTTGATCCTAGGACACTATGGGGGCAGCCTTGATGACACGGAACCCAAACCCCTTCATTTCCCCCAAAGGCTCTGGATCACAACCCCACCCTCATCCACCATCTTGCTAGCTCTCACTCTAGCGGTCATGAAACAGTGCTGTTGGCCACACTAGAGATCTTTCGCTTTCTCTCATAACTATGCACACCCAATTTAGGATTAGTCTGCCCACCTGCAAACCTATACCCCCCAACTTGAGAGTAAGCCCCATATAATATGTACAATGGGATTTAACTGAATAGGTATGTATAGAATTGCAGTATAAGATGTACATCTTTGGTCATCAATGCTCATGCTCCCTACACTATCAACTTATAGTGTGGTGCTCACATTGTCTGCCAGCATTTAGAAGTTTTCAAGCACCATGTAGCTACCTATCAAGATGAATTATTTGTTTGCTTGCCTTTGGTTTACTCTACCTGTTCTCCGGGATTATTTAAGAGACACGCTAGATGAATTTGCATGATGCAGAAATGAACAAATATATGCTTATTTCAACTTGAGCTCCTATGACTACCAAATTTTAATTGTCCCTAAAAAACTAGAAAGTTTGCAAAGGAAAAAATTGCAATAAGGAATAATACCATATTTTAGATTGCCACGCAGGAAATCTTGGTATCTGATTCCTGCTTCATAATAATGCCATTTTAAGCATCAGGTGCTGACGTAGTGCCATTTGGTCTGGAAGGATAAACACATCAGGCTTACAAGATGGGAAGGGAATATTTATTTAGCAATAAAGATTTGGAACCGCTTCATGCCCATCCCCTAATCACCTCCTCCTTCACCCACAAATCCTTCCTTAAAGAGTCCCCTGCCAAATTCAACTGTGAAAGCCTCCCATTTCCTCTCTTCTGAACATTTGCCCAGATCATCTGTCAGGTGCACCTAAGAAAAGGCCAACAATCTTGTGATTCTCATGTTTTCTGAAGCATTCAAGGTTTGGGGGGGTGGGGCAGGGAGCATATTCAACAGAAGCTTCCCTTATGTCCCTGCTTGACTATTAAGGAATATATCGTTCAGTCTTCACAATCTACTGCCCCACCCAATTTTTTACATATAGTTACTTTAATTTTTGTTAAAAATGAAATGGAAAGCTGACCAGCTTTTGACATCATGTTTATTTATATAAATGTCTAGAAGCCCCATACATTTTGCAAAATAAATATAGTGCATGGCAACAGCCCAGTGCTTTGTTTGGAAGTATACCCATCTATTTAAAAAAAAAAATTAAAAAGGCAAAAGTCAACTGGTATGTGCAAATAGAGATGGGGGAATGGATTGAGAGAAAGTGGTTTAACACACTGTGAAAGTGAACGAGTCAACCCAGGAGCTTTAGATTATGGTTAACATATTATAATTCTCTAGAAAGACTGGCATTGGAGTCCTAAAAAACATTAGTTGAGAATAGATCCTGCTGAAATCAAGGAGACTTTCTTCTGAGTAACCATGATTAATATTATCCTCTCAGTACAATCACTGCCATCAATGCTATGATCCTACTTTATGGAGTTCCACTGATGTTCAACTCTTCAACAAACAAGGTTTCATTTAACGCTTGGTCTGATTGCAGCAATGTCATTAGCACTGCTAAGAAAACCACATTCTGAGTTCAGGATCCAGAGTGATATGGGAAAAAGCTGCACACTCAGAAAGGGAGAGGCTGTATGTCTATAGCATGTGTATGAATTTCTCCATTGTAACATCTTCCCTCTCATTAAGTTACACAAGGGGGTTCATTTACATGGGCATAAAATGGTAGTTCAATTCCAAATCCCACTTGGTGATACTTGAGAATTAGCTGCTCACCTGTAGATTTTGTAAATGTTTCTCTGATCCAAACAAGCAAGGGGAAGATGCAGACAACATGGCTTCTGGAATTCTTCCCAACCCCTTAATAATAGCTCTGCACAAGGTCACATGACAGGGAAGGAAGACGGGGGGGCTTAGAATGGAGGAATCAGCAACCCCCCAGACTGCCTCTCCCGTAACTGGGGATTTTTTTCTGGATTTCTTTTTCCCACAGATCCTGGCCATATCCTCCCCATTTCCAAATTTCATCTTTCTTTTTGTTGGATCCTCTTGCCATACTCAGCTTGGTCCCATTTCATTCAGTTTTCAGAGGTTATCCTACTGATGCATAGAGTTTGTACATAATGTCTTTCCAATATAAAGCTGCTATGCTAAATTTTGTTTTGTTTTCTTTGAGAAAAAATAAGGGATGGCATTTGAAATGGCAGCAGCCCTCCTCTCCCACCCACCCACAGGCAGAACTGCATCTTGAAATGCTGTACTGTACTCCTTTCTAGTACACCTGTTATAAGTACTGCCAGCCCTTCAATATAGACCAGCTGAGAGAACAGGAATTATAAGGAGTACTGAAACTCTACTTCATTGTTATAGGGTATAATAACAACAGAATCTTGAAAACCTGTCAGAGTTTCCCTCTTACACTAAATAGAATCAAGGCAGGGTTATCATGAGTTTCTTTCTCACCCCCTCTTCCATGCCAGGGCTAAACTAATGTTTACTTAACACTTCTTTCCTCAAGGCTACCTCCATATTCCTCTATATGTACACAAAGATATACATAAGTAAGAAGGCTAAAATCACTATTCAGAAAGTGTTGGCATCCTGATCATATTCAGGATGCTATTTTTTGTAATTATTTAGCAGCTTCTCCCAAATAGAGGGATATAGACAGCAGCTCAAGACAGGTTATTCTTATGACCTCTAGCAAGGTACAGACTTTGGAAATAACCCAGCTCTGACTTCTTCAGGAAGGAAAGCAGTACTCTTGAAATCCAGTGGACAAATACAGGGGTTTATTAATGCCATGAGCATTTTTTTTTAATTAAATGGGTCAAACTGTGACTTTTCACAGTTTAGTTCCCCATCGCAATTTATTAGATCAGGATTTTACTAGCTCCAAAATCCTTTCCAATGTTACCCTTTCCATGATCTATACCTACTTAAGTAAGGAATCACAGCAGAGTACCCATTTGGCCAGGCTTTTTTACCCAAATCTGTTATAGATACATTAGTCTTCAACTCACGTACTCAGCCAAAATGAACAAAGGCCTTTGGCCATGTTGGCTAAAGTTTATGGGAATTGGAGACCAATGGACCTGGAGGGGTACCAGTTAGGAAAGGCTTCCCTAAGCTCTAGATTGCTACAAGAGACCCAAGTCACTACTGCATCTAGGACTTGGTAGAATTCTCCCCAAGACATCTGGTAAATTTGGAAACAGTAGGGGCCATCAGGAGCACTGATGGGCTTTCAGTTTGAAATACACCCCAAAATTCTAATGAATTATTTCAGAATCATTTGAGAATTCTTTTCACATCTCAAATAATTCTGAATTTCTTTTTGCCAACATTGAGAATACTTTGAACTGAGCCAAGAGGTTTTGCTGATCCAGATCAAACCGATGGCTTGGAAATGTCTTCTTAGCAGGGTAAAGCCATTTTGTCTATTGCTCATCAACCAAAATGTTTTTCCATTTTGAAAATCTAATAAATATGAGAATAAATTAGGTTGCCCATCATCCCTTGAAGGCTCCATACAGCAATGCAAGGAAAGTTCCACGGGCAACATCACCATGACTGTATCTAGTGACATCTACAGAGCAAATGGAAAATGAAAGCTGACTCCATTCGATTGACATGCAAGGACACTTGGTGGAAGAGATGGACTGTTTGCAGAGGACTACGAGTTCCAGCCTGCAAACACACCTCTGTTTAAACTGAGATGACTGAAAGCTATGTGTTTGAATAGGTGCAGCAGTCTCAGATGCTGAACCAACCACCTTGTCTTCTGCTGGAAGAGTACTGAAGAGGCCTAGTGCACTTTCTGACTCCTGTTCGTTCATGCTTTTTTTGATCAGACTGAATTCCGGGGGAAGGGGGGAAAATAGTCAGAAAAGGGTCATCTTTTTTGGGCTTCGGGCCATTTCATAATCCAAGCTGTGAAGCTTCCATCAGCTTCGAACTTTAATTTCCCAGAAAGCTTTTGGCAATCTTTTAGCGGCTATTTCATCCTAGTTTGTTTTTAAGGTAAGTACAAGCTCAATGCTATGTTAAAATATGCATCCCTCTCTTTCACTAAATACTCAGAAGGTCAGGAAGAGCCCTGGGACTTACCTTTGCTTCATCATTAATGTCCCAAGTGAAGGAGATGGCATTATAGGCTATCTCTTCAATATTACTTATGGTGTTGAAGCTCTCCTTATAGTCAGCTGTTGATAACATAAATGAGGGAAAAGATATTAAAATAGCTTTATCGACTGCCAAACACAAACACAAATTAGGCAAACAGTCATTTTTTCTTCTGGACTGCCTTAGAGAAGATAAAAGAAATCTAAGTGTTCCTTTAAGGGGTTTTTTTTTTGAAAGTAGAATGCAGGAAATGAAATTTAAAAATTGCAAAGGAGAGAGGCAACACCTGCTATCTTTGCCATGCCCTCAATTTTGTTTGAAAAATGTTAGCCAGCATAACCAGGATATGTTGCTCTTCATAAAAACTCATAATAAAGGAAGATTTGAATGTGCGTCTGCCTTTAAGTGCCAAGCATTAATCCCTACTTTTATTTACAAGAGAAAAAAAAACTGAGTGCAACCCAGCCTTTAAACCAAAGGAGCTGGAAATGGGCCAATCACAGCTTGGCTGTAGGCAAATGGGTATCTGTAATGTCATCTTTCATCTCCTTGCCCAAACTGTACCTAGGGCTTGACTTCTGCCAGCGACTCAGTCTTGGAACCTGTTTTGCAACCTCAGAGCGTCCTTTCAAATCTCTAAGAACCAACAGCAGCTTTACTCATGTGAAGAGTGCCTTTCCCCCCTGCACTGAGTAACCACTACTAATCCATATGCCTTTAGAGCCAAGACGCTCCAGGATCGATGGCATGAACTACAGGCAAACCTGAGGCCAAAGCAGCTTTTGGCTCAAGAATGAAAAAAACAACAATGCTTTTTTTGAGACAGGAATAGGAGAAAAGGAGAATTCTAAGAGGTGATGTCTGAAAATTTAGCAAAGGTCAGAAAATATGATTACTCAACTGTCTGCAATGTTCAGATATGGTAAGCTCGATATAGGCAGATACTGCAGCACAAAGAACCATAGCCAGTTCTGTTTGAGCAACCTCACAGCCAGAAGCTTGAAACACAGTCCAGTCAACAAATCATTCTCCAGCTTTTGAAATTATGGTCCCTCTAACATCCATGGCAAGTTCAAGCTTCTGCTACTCAACCGTGGACCCTTTTGACCGATCAGTTGGTTGGCTAACTGACCAAGCAACCGAGCCCTATATCTTTGTTTAAATCTGTAATCTTCCCCAAACTGAGATATTCTGATGGGCAGTTGGGTTTCTCATCTCACCCCAGACAGGGGCAGGCATGATCCAAAGCCATGCAAAGCCTTGGCTGAAGATGGTCGTGAGCTCACCAGGCACGTGCAAGACCTGACACCTGCTAAGTTGAGCTTTGGCACCTGCTGCTTGAGAGCTCCTTACCTATGTCAATGCACCTTTGTTTGGCTGTGTGTTGCCTGGAATGCCAGTACTTCCAGTGCCTGAGCTGATCCTCCCGGGTTTTGTCTTCAGCAAATACAACCATGATGACGCTCTGCAACGGGGAGGAAAGAGAAAAGCAGGGGAAAAGGCAGAAAAGCTTCATTAACAGAAAGGCCAAATGGTGGGGGTGGGAGTGAGTGGGGTGTCTGGGGTTTTTTTTGCTGACGGGTGGAGAGCAGCTACTCAGGACTGACAACCCTGGCAGTTTATCTCTGCCATCTGCATCTATGGGGACTGAGGGGCGAGTGAAGTGAACTTTCCAAGTTGAGAAGGACAAGCTCCTCAGACTTAAGGAGGGCAGCAGCAGCAGCCACAAGCAATTAACCATGGAGGGTGCCTGTGAGCCAGGAAAAATGCCAGAGCTCTTCTTCCATCTATTATTCAAAACAGCCAACACTTTCTTTTAAAAATCTCAAAGGCTGGAAAAAAAAGTTCTGGCTTTTTAAAGGTACTCCAATATCTTCCCCATATTCTTCCAAGAGAAAGGAATAACCTCTAGTTATTAGGGGAAAAGTAGAAATAAACACCTGCTCTTTGCACAGGGGATTACTAAAGTATCACTGAGGAAGTCTGGCTTGTTATAAGACCACAATCAGTTACATGTTTTTGCAAATTCAAGCCAGCCCAGCAACAATTTTTGTCATTATTCATGACTTTATACTTTTTCATGACATATGTGAATATTATGAATGAAGAAGATAGTAATTATTTATCAGCCTGATCCTACCTATCAAGACCATTGTCAAGAGCATAAAGAGAGAACTGTAAACATCTGGTACAAAAACTGCTGTGCTAATTTATATTAACACTACAGCTTCCCAGACAGTAAACAAAAAAGATGTCTGCATATCCTAATGACACGGTCTTGCTAAAGAACAGGGGAAATAAGTTGATGGATCAGATCAAAGTCAATTGAGAACAATTATGGGCTGTTTATAGCCTTACAAGTTATTGGTAGCCCAGAAGAAGTATGGGTAACCCACAAATTAATTCTCTCCCCTTTTGCTCACCAGAAATGCTATTACAAGTCTTTGCCATCAGCTTCTCTCCTACATACTTTATTTAATGGTAACTCACTCTAACTTTACTGATGGGCTGATGGATTCCTTCGCCACCACTAATTTCCTTCAGTATAATGGGATAAAACTGGCCCTTGTTTAGATAAGTCATTGTATTATCTCCTGGCTTCTGCCGAAGTGATTTTGAAGCTTCCAGTGTATATTCAAAGTTGTTCCTGGAAAAATTCAGAACAGGAAGTTTTATAAGCAACTTATACCATGAAATAATCCAAACACAACAATCCACATGCTACATATTAGAGCTGGAGAATAAATAGTGGGACTGGTCATCAATGGCAGATATGTGAGAAATACAGGAGGATTGGTAATTTAAGATGACATCATCTGGATCCACCCCTGTAATTTTAGGAATGAGGCAGAGGGATTGCAAAATTTTAAAATTTCACCAGGATTATCTAGAGTTTGGTACTCTGATTCAAGAATCTGATGTATCTTGGTTGTTCAACTGCTGCAAAGATGTTACACTCACTGATCTACACTTGGGTTACAGTATTTTATATTTGTGCAGAGTGGGAAAGAACACTGCTTACAAAGTAATAAGAGTAAAATAATAATAGCAATAAAATTTATATAATGCTTTCGAAGCACCTCATATTCATTGCCTGATTAAACGTCACCACTCTCCCCCAACTTGCAGACACTGTGACTAAAGCCATGAGAGGGCCTGAGACCCACTAATGTGTTTATGGTGAAAGCATTTCCTGATTCACAGCTCACTCTCTGTGCTACATCAAAAAAAGAATGAAATATACTTCCATTACTTGGTACTAATCCACCTGCTTTTCTTTGTGAATCCACACTGCTTGACAAACTGCAAAGCCAAACTTTAAGTTTCAAACCAGGGGTGGAAAAGTACCTCATTTTACCTAAGCTCACTCTTGTGTACGTGACCTGATCCACGTGATGTTTCCAAAAGGATTAGGGGAGGAATGACCAAATCTCACCACTCAGAGCTCGTGTCTTTCATTTCACAAAGCAGAGCATGAGCAAGAGGACTGAGCACATTTGAGGTGTGCCAAGCTTGCAGAGCATCAGAACCCAGCTATTGTGCAAGAGCAAAATATGAGGGAAAATACTTTACCCAGCAATGCTTTCAAAGACATAGTCTTCAGAATTCACGTTGGCCATCCGAAGATTCAGTTCAGAAGGGAAAAAAACCTGGAGGTATTCATAACAGTTTCAGACAAGCAGCAATTAAAAAAAACCTATATCATTATAAAAGCTATACAGATATCGTTTATAAGCCCTACATTTATCATTAATAAAACTATTTGCTGACCCTTATAAGTCAGATACAAAACAAGCTTAGTCTAGAACCAGGTAACCCATGTATCACACAAACATTATTTCTTCACATTCAAGCTGAGTGAGCCACGTCCTGTAAGATGAGCCATGCTTTCTTGCTAGCAATTTCATATTATACAGAAGTTGCTTTTGTTTTAAATTTAGAATTATATATCCATATCCAGTCTGAGAAAATCTTCTCTTTCTAATCCACTGGACTGAGATTTCAGGTTTACATAAGAATTAAATAGGAACCTGATATCCATGTGCAGATTAGTGAGTACACCCAAAATCGGGGGGAAAGGGAAAGTAATGTCATTGTTATTTATTCTCAGAGCTGGAGTTAGTCTCTGCTTTTAAGATGGTCAACATTCAAGTAGCCAAAATTCAAAGACCTGCATTTTAAATCTTTTTCCAGCATTATCTCATTATGTTTACTCAGATGTAAATTTTATAGTGATTATTCTTAAGTGAGTATCTATAGCAGAGACTGGAATTTGGAGTTATTCAGAAGGCTACTGGACTCCAATTCCTATCAGTCCAGCCAGCATGGACAACGAGCAGGAACGAAGGGATCTGAAGTCCAAACTACATCTGGTGCATAGAAATGCTATCTTCACCAATCAATTGTTCCCCATCAATTATTTTGTTAACATGAATTCTGCTATTTTTACTGTTTTTGTGATTTGCGCAATCATAATTTGCAGCTGTAAGAACTTATTTTCATGATTCTCTGGAAGGCCAATTCTCTACCCAATATGATTTTATTTGGCTTTTCTTCATTACGACATTAAACCCAGTTCTGGGCTAAGAATCATATAAGCAAAAGATGCAGGCTACTTTTATACCTCTTGCACACCTTCTTTAAAAGACTCTGAGAAGGTGGAATCAGGAGTACGTCGCTGGGAATTTTGCGGCTGGCTGTTAGTGCTAAACTGGTCAGCATTGAGGCTCCGATCTAAAACCACCACCCTCTCAGGTGCTTCTGGGTGATAGACACTTGGAGGGATCCCCACAGTAAAACTATGCGACTGAGTCTCTGTCTTGATTGAATGGGTGGGCATCGATGCAACGGAGACAGTGACTGTAGTATCTGGAGTCGTCAGGTGGCCCCTCTTGTCAATGCCCATCTGGGAACTGTGTGGAAGGACAATATTCAAAGGCATGTTTTTCAAGACTTGCACTCTGTTCTCCCCAGCAGAAATAAGTGATTGCTCCGTCATGTTTGGCATACTGTTCCTAAACAAACAAGAGAACTGATTGAGTGGTAGATTAAGAGTGAGGCAGAAAGAATCAATTTCAAGAGGAGAAACACCAATCCTCAAGCCTGCTTGATGTTACCCCTCCTCCATGAATGATTTCTCTATTGCTACCAGCAAGCAAAAAGCTAATCCTGACAACACCTTGTTGGGAGAAAGACTACAAAAATATTAAGCATTGAGGGAAGATTTCTGACCCTTCCACTACTAGTTCCCCTTTTTGATTATCTTCAGACTGGAGATAAAGGGGCAAAGCTGGTGCATACATCACAATCTTCCTTCCAAAGGTAGTATTTCTGAATACTGGGACGAATCCTTTGCCTTCCTTGACCATTGGCTGTCTTTCAGTCCCTGGAATCTATCACAAATTCCTTAGAACCATCTTATAGTTGATATGTCTAGCTTGAAGACTTACAGTAGCAGTTGCATTCACAGAATACACATTTTCATCAGAGACCAAGTATCTCAAGTAAAGGCAGTGCAACTATAAATTAAAGGACAAACAGGCAGATCTTCTAGTGCACATACATCCAATGGTAGCAAGATCACATTGCATAATTAGTTACAAAGGCCATCAGAAACTCCTAATGATGCGAAAGATTCAGGTCATAATTGGAAAAGTGACCTAGCTGTGTGAAATGGGAAACTTTTCTCCCATAATATTTGAATTCACTCTGAATCTACCAGCCTATCAAAGCCTTCAACTCTGAAGCTGAGAGAGAAGTTGGCAATCAGTTCCAAAGTCTCCTTCCCTATTCAACTACTTGTAATGAAATCACAGAACTCTGAGTTGTAAAAGAGGAGCTATAATCATATTCCTGCCACTTTTCAAAATTGTTGCATCATTTTCTGCAGTTCTGTAATGATAATCTGGACAGCAATATGAATGACTATTAGGACATGCCTAGTGTTTGAACTTTCCAAGAATTTGTTCTTTTTGAAATACCCAGGTTTAGTTATATAAGCCAGAAACTTCCTTATTTACATTAATCTATTCATATTAAGCTGAGAACAAGAGTAGAGTTGCATTCGTGTTATATCTGGATAAAAAGTTTTAAATGATTTGAAAAAGTCTTTCATTGGGTTCATACCTTGCACGAATTAAGCCATAACTTGGTTGGTTGGTTTTGCCATAGTGTGATTTGCTAACCCAACTATTGCAGCTAAGCAATTTGTGTAAGCGAAGATACTTTGACTTATTCAACAATCCAAGGTTAAAAATCCTAGTGTTAAGTTCAGCTACTATGGCAGAGTGTAAAAAAACGAATCCCAATGTAGTTATAATTTATTCCTCTCTTTAAAAAGGATCCTGTCTTAAAGCATGTATACACGCACTTCAAAACTGAATACTGAACCTTTTCCCATGATCTTGATCAGACTGGTCTACATCTGGTTTCACTGTAGAAGTTCTCCTTTCCCGGGGAACCTTGGAATATGAAATATATCAATTACATTATTAAAAACACATTAACTAAGCACAGTTTCTTGGGATATTAAAAGAATTACCGGAATACACTGTACATGTCACAAATACATTTTAAAAGCATAAGCATTTGGCTCGGAGATATCAGCTAAGAACAATTTTGACTTTTTATCAATCTTGTTCCAAATTTAACTACAGAACTGCTTCTCAGTCAAATATGAGATTATGCCTAAGGTATTCTGTTCCTTATATCTCCTATTTCAATGTAACATTTACTTTTAAGACATGATGCAAATATTATAGTAACTTCAAAGACAGACGAGATTCAAGACAAGTCTTTAAACAATTAAAAATATGAGTAGTGATCACAGCTTCAGTAAACTTGAAACTGACTATTTGTACTTTAACAATAATTTTTTACAAACCAATTTGCTTATTAAATAAAATTAGCTCAGTATCCTCCAGCATGGAAATCTGCTGTATCAGCAACACCTTTGCATCCAAACATTTTTGTCTAACAAACACAAACTATATAAATGACAGTGGGAACATCCTCTTTAAGCAGCTATTTGTCAAAAAGGTAAGAATGTTGTAAGAATGTGGCCTTAAGCACAACTTAGCAAATCAGGGATGGAGTATGTGTGTGTGCACGCTAAATGCAGTCCTAAGTGTATCAAGAAGCACTGGAAAAATACAGAATCAACTATAGGCAGTGCTTTGTTTGCTTGTAAGAAAACCATGAGCCACCTTGGAAAGCTATCATAATCAGAACTTAAATTTTTCAGGGTTGGTCTATATACTTCAGGAATTCTTTGTTGAAAATCCAAGTCCAGTAGAATATTAAAAGATGACGATGATGATGATGATGACGACTACTAGACCACTGAATCTCTAAGGACTCTTGGCGGTTTATAGATAAGATATATAAGAAACAATATACAATAAACCATAGGTATACAAATACTGTACCAAACCAAGCTGAAATAAAGGCCCAAATGCCCTGCTGGAAGAGCTCTCTTATGAGCAGTTTCCAGATGGCAGTCAGGATGGAAGCCAACTGGATGCCCCCTGGAAGGCCATTCCAAAGAATCAGTCCAGCCACTGAAAAGCAACACTGTTATGGCTCCCCTTTGCCTCCCTACAGTGGGGCACCGCTAACAGATTCTCCTGGGTAGATCAAACTGGTCAGCCAATTCCAGTGGGAGAATGCAGTCCTGCAGATAGTTCTGAAGAGAGATCAGTAGTTGTACTTGTATTGGGCTTGTACCACTAGGGAGAAGGAGTGGAGGTGATGGGATTTTCAAGAAAAAGTACCTAGGTCTTACTAGTAATATGAAGCTGATGGGAATATACTGTATGCAGTTTACTGTTGCCTACCCCTGCATGAAAGAATGCAAATAAATCAAAGCACACTTTGGAGTATTAATCAGTCCTGGGCTTCCATGAGCTACCTTGTAGTAGTCGTACAAGAGGCCCAAAGCAGCCGCACTGTCCTCATCCCCATTGATGCTCATCATGGCTTTGGTAGCTGCTGTAAGGGGGTTTTCAAGAAAGGACTTCCAGGCTTCATCCTCACTAGTGTATGGTCGCCTCTGGGAATAGAGGGTATCATTCTGAAGAACCAAGACAGGCCTTTTGCTTGAGAGAGAGAGAGAGAGAGAGAGAGAGAGAGAGAGATTGTATTTTGTTCAATCAATCAATGACAAAGAAGTTGAAAACAAACTGTGGCTGACATCCAGGAGGTAAAGAACTTCCACCACGCATGAAAGTTGTGCTCGTCAGACTGCAGTGCCACATATTGTCTGTGACCACACTTAGCCTTAATCCAGGAGATATAGCTTGTTTTACATACTAAGCTATAACGGTTGGGCTCCTACTTACCCAAAGCAAATCACATTATGACTTAAGATGAAGTGTTGGATGACAATCTGGCGGGTGCCCATACACAGCCCTTCAGGGCATGGACATTACACCTTAAGACATCCTTTTACATTTAAATGCATTGTGCTCTATTGAAATAGTTAACTGGGGTGTTCTGATTTTATTCACAAATAAATACAGCATTTTGTACATAGGGCATATCTTGCATATTAAACTAACAGCTTAGACCTTCTTAGCCAGGCACAATTCACTCGGCAACAAGGCCAGAGCACACAAACAAGGACACTCACTGACTGTTCCCCAGCTATGGAACTTGAGTTTCAACGTTATTATTATATACAGTATTATCCCAATTCTATTTAAATTTAAAAAAAAAATCTAAGGAGGCAAAACATCTTAATTTTCATCAGCTTTTGTGATCAAAATTTAGAAATTGTACACTGTGACATAGGAATGGTGAGCCTATTCCTTTCTCAGTGTCCCTCTAGGACTGTTTTCCAGAAACTGTGCCCTTCAAGCACACTGGAGTTTCAGTACTCCCTGCCAGCCTGGCCAGTGGAAATCTGGAGAAAGTTTAGGATAGGGATTTGTAACCTGCTGTAAGCTCAAAAATCGATTTGGTCTTGGAATAGGCCACACATGAAAATCAGGTTGGGTCATAACAAAAAAAGAAATTTAATATCATTATTTAGTGTAATGCAGTTAGTATGTTTACCTCCCTTGTATTTCATCATTTCCCACTTTGGCCCATTAAAATTTCAAATTTGGTGACAATTTCTGGAGGAGTTCTGCATACTGCACCCAAATGAGAAGGATAGACAGCCCTGGGGCCCTGCTTGCACACCCCTGACTCAGATATTTCTTATTTGTGATTTATTTTATTTATTTATTTATAAGGGCCTGCTGGTATCTACCTGATGACAAATCAGATAATTAGTCTAGACCTCCCAGTGATGCCTGCTTTGAGTTACAGGTAGGTAACTGGTGTAACCTGGCTGGAATTTAATATGCAAGAGACATCTGTTTTACCAATAAATTACAATCTCCCATTAAGTTTAAAAACTTAAAGCCAAAATATTTATGCAAAAAGCTTCAGAGGAATTAATCTTTGTAGAACAAGTAATGCGAGCTTGAAAAGCAAAAGGCAAACATACAAACCGGTATTCTAAAAATATCAACTTGATTTCTAAGTTTTGGATAGCGCCTCAAAGCTTTCTCTCACCGTGCGAGCTAGAACACAGCAATTCAGAGCTATCTGTAGGCTCACCTGTGCTGGATGGATTCAAAATCTCCTCTAGCCAGCAATCTTACCCCTATCAATTCACGCTGTGCAGAAAACAGTGTGAAAGGCAATAGCAACATGACTGTTTTTATCCTCATAATCCAAAGAGGGCCCAGCTTAAGTGAGGCTTTCCATTTCTGGTGACTCACCGCTGAATAAACTCCTCAGTCCTTATTTCAGCATGCACACTTATACAGAACCTGCGTGCATGGAAGGAAACTTGCACAGATTAATGCCCACCACCTAAAAGGCTTTCTTTGGCCTAGAAAATATGTTAACATATTCAACACAGATTTTTTTAAGGTAATTTCTAAAATGTTGCTTACCCAGTATCTGCTTTGTCCCAGCAGATGAGACAATGCTGCTTGAGCTGGCTTTAAACCAGTTAAAACACAGTTTGTCCTTGACCATACATAAGATTTAGTTAGCATTTAAGACAGAATCAGAGTTTTGCTTCAAATATTTCTGGGAGGGATAGAACCACACGTAAACATAAGATACTATCAGTCCTTGAAGCAAAAATAGCAGAAACCTACAAAGGGCAGTCGTTCCATCTGGCACTGATGTTGGGACTTATAATTCCCACAATCCCCAGCCGACAGTCCCTAAATATCTAAATGCCACGTGGCTGGGGAAAATGGATCTCAGTCTTTATCACACGAGTCATCTTTTAAAAAAGGTTAAAATGTGGGCCAGATACAATCGTTGAATCCATAATTAGCCGAAAGACCATTCCCACAAAGTACTTATAAATGGCTCCACATCAGCTTACAGAGTAATAATATCAAGAGGAATAAATATCACAGGGCTCTGGCTGTTCAACCTTTTTATTAATGACCTGGGCCCAGATGATTATTGCATTTCCAGATGGCACAAAACTAGAAGTGGCTAACACTTTAGAAGAAGAAGAGTTTAAAAGATCTAGTCAAGCTTGAACAACGGGCCAAAACAAGACAAAATTTAATAGGGAGATTTGTGAAACCCTGCATCTGGGGAGAAAAAAAAAAGATAGGCACAAAGATAGGATGGGGGGCACCTGGCTTAGCAGTATTACATTTGAAAAATATTTGGGTGTCCTGTAGATTGCAGCGTGAGCCAATAGTGTAATGCAGCTGCTAAGAAAGCAAATGCTATTTTGGGATATATTAACACAGAGTCCAGATGCATAGCATAGAGTCCAGAGCACAGGAAGAAATTGTCCCAATCTGCTTTGCCTTGGTTAGATAACACTGGAATAGCATGTTGTTCTGGGCAGTCTAAAAAGGACATCAATAAATGACAGAATTCAGAAGAGGGCGACCAAAATGATGAGAGGATGGGAAATCAAGTCCTGCAAGGAACTACAGTACATATGTTTGCCTGCAGAAGAGAAGACTGAGGGGAGATATGTCTGCAGACTTCAGATTGTCATACTGAGGAAGAAGTAGATTTGTCTGTTGCTCTAGGAGGAAGGATCAGAACCAATGGCTTGAACTACAGAGAAATAAATTCAGGCTACATATTAGGAGGAATTTCCTGGCAGTAAAAGTGGTCAACCAGGAGAACAGCCCATTTCATGAACTGGTATATTCCCCTTTACAGAAGGTCTTTAAGCAGAAGTTGAGCAACCAATTGTCCAAAGTGCTTCAGCAGATCTTGCACCAAGCAGAAGGCAGACTTAGATAACTTCTGAAGTCCCTTCCAATTCTATGAGTCTACTTTCAGATTATGGAACTGAAGCTGCTGTATTTGTTCTGGGTTATAATTTGTGTTAGAGAAGGACAGAAGCATCTCCTAGATTTCTCTGAAGCTTTCAATCTATCGGCCAGAATATATTTCTTAATTGCTTGAATTATCTGGGGATGGAAGCCAATGTACCACAGTGTTCCACACTAAGTGAAACACAGATGGTTGTGCTGGAATCACCACTCCTCCGTATGGCAATCCTATGGGATTTCACATGGTACATACTTTTCTCCCATGTTATCTTCATGAAAATACTCAGCAGAGATATCCAAAGATTTGAGGCACAGTATAATATTTGCTACTGCCTTTCAGGAGATTCTGAATGAAACAGTGGACTTAGGTATCTGAAATCGGTGACCAGCTGGATTAAGCCAAATTATGTAACATGGAGAAGGTACACAGCCTGAGGGCACTCCGGGATTTATCACCATTCTTGAATGTTCAAATAATGCCTGTCAAGCAAAATATTTTTTTCCACCTTCACCTGACTAACCATCTGTACACTCTTCTGAAAAGATGGATTTGTCTTGTCAAAAATCCACAGGTAACATCAAGAATAGACTACTGCTCTTGAAAGAGCTGAGAAGTTTCATTCAGTCTATTCAATTGTGAACTGTTGCTATCTTCAAAATCCATGTTTTACCAACCCTAAAATAACTAAAATTTGTGTCAATTTTGTTTCCATGATGAAAGTCAAGGTTCTAATGTTTACTTTTAAAATCCAATTAGGACAGTGCAGAGATCTGGCTTTGAAGGGTGATCTGGAATGTGCGTGGGTGTGTATGTCACACCAGTCAGCACTTCCTTAAATCAAACATATTTTCCTGGGATTGCATGGCTGCTATGGTGTGAGCCCAGGAAAGGACACAGTTTCTTTAAGAAACTGCTGACAGGTGCAGTGTGTACTCCAAATCACCTTTTACCCTTTAAATCTGGAACTTTGCGCAGCTCTAAATTCTTTATTACCTGGGACCAAGATATTATACATGCTCCTTTCTACTAGGTCATCCTCCCTGGACATCTATTTGTTTTATAAATCACATTAAGCCTTTTGGAAATAGTGTCTTCATTGTCTAAAGTTAGACTGGCATCCACCAAGAACAGACTTTCTCTAATGGCAGCAAGAATAGGATAGAAATGGAGTGTATTTTAACCAGGATCCAGCAGATTCACTGACCACGAACAGCTGTTAGATCGCAACTGAAAACATCAGACAAGATTTTGATTCTGCAGGAAAAAATGCAGTTGCTGCTTTCCATCCTCTTCTTCTACTAATCCCTTTGCCTGCCTAATTTCCTCCCTACTCTATTATATGGACAAACTAGAGTTCTATTTGCTACAGAAGTCAAGGCAGGCACAGCATTTACAGGTTGTTGTGCTGTATTTAATGAAACAGTTAAGATTACCCAGGATGTTTGACGCCCTTAATCTGAAAGCTGTGCCCATACAGTCACCAAGTATTCCCAAAATGTGTGAGAAGTTCTGCGCAACACTTTCTACTTAGTTCCCTCCCTTATCCTCTAACAAAGAGCCATGAATAATATGCATGATTTCTCTAACAGATTAAAACTGCCCTCATCTGCATAACAACCACCCAGTGATTAGTAGATGTGGCACTGAGATTATGTTCCTGCCTGAAATCTCCTATCTTCCTGCGTGAGCTGCTGCATTACAATAGATTTAGGACTAATTCAGCCCAAACAGTACAGGACAGCTGAATTATTCCTGCTACTACAAGAAAGTCATCCATCTCCAAAAGATACCTTCACATGAAATATTTTGATAGGCACTAGTCTGCCAAATAGGTATAGTTGAAAATGTATTTTAAATACAAAACTGATTTAAGAATCATCCAAGACCATCTGTAAAGGTATTACTGACTGTGAACACAGGTTTTCACTTATATGGTTTATTTAATGGTTTAAACTAAACAAAACATGGTTTATTTAATGAACCACTACTGAAGGGGGTGGGGGGCTATACAACATACTAAGCCATTCGTGAAATAGGTGAAGTAGGCTCTGCGTAGCATATCATAGGAGAGCACTGCAAAGTATCTTGTAAGGCAGTGAAGTGTTTTCCAGCCCTTGGAAGGTTAGGGAGTGCTGAAAAAGGTTCCTATTAGAGGAAGTTCTAGCCAAAGCCACCTCAGTTTTCATGGTATGTTTGGGTTTTGAGGTCCTTCAGCAATTTTCCAACTACTTCTGCTTAAGTAGAACTAATTTCAACTACCTTAGTCAGAATTAGGATTCAGCTATGAGTTCAGGTAAGCAGTTTCCTACAGCAGTGCTTAAAAGTTTGTGGACACTTTTGAATATTCAATATTTCTGCATAAATATGACCTAAAACATGATCTGTTCTCCACACAATTCCTAAAACTAGATAAAGACAACCCAATTAAACAAATGAGTCAAAACATTATACTTGTTCACATCTGGGTAAATTATTGTGATATTTGAGGCAGCCATAAGATAGCCTAGTAGCAAAGGGAGGTATGGGAAGAGGAGAAGGTGTTTTTTCTTAAAAGTAATAACCCTGTAATTTGGTCTCAACTTCCAGACCCCAAATTGTACCACTGCTAATCTGCATATATAAAAAGGCAAACTCCATGTTTTCTGCATTATTCTCATTGCATCATCCCCAAATAAAATCCTCAAATGCCTTAAAGCTAAGCTAGCTCTGTTAAAAATGAGTGTAGAAAGAATTATCTTTAGAGCTAGATCTTTCAACAAAGCTCAGGGTTTGGCAGTAACCCAATCCCTGAATAAAACTGCAGGTTCTTTTAGGAAAATGAGACCATGTTTTCTAAAAAGACAGCAAAATGTGTATATTTCTGACAGCTACCCTGTGTCAAGTTTTAAGTTCTGACGAGTCAACTGGCAGAGTGAACCGTGTATACAATACTAAAAGGCATTTGGCAAGATCTGCAAATAAGTCTTCTATTGTGCTTGTAATTACTTCATAACTACCAGTTTGTTTTCTGCTTGAATAATTTGCAAAAAAGAAGATAGGAAAACATTACAGCAGTAAATGTTCTGTGCATTACAGGGATAAAATAGTTATAATACAGAGGTTCTTCAGATGACAAAGTGTTGGAGTCATGCTTACAGAATACAGAACTTGTCAATGTTGGTTAGGGTTAGTTTTCTACTTACCAAATTAATTAAATAATATTTAGTTCAAATTTTCACTATTATGCTCTGAACAATAGCTCCAATCATCCTCAGCCAGCATTTTAAGTGAAGGGAGAATCAGAACTGTAGTTTAAAATATTGAAACGCAACTAGGTTGGATAAGGCTGGTTTAGTGGAACAGTGATTGCTTTAGAAAAATCAATGGTCACACCTCCTTGATCAGAGTTGTATAAAGCTAAAATAGCCAAAGCAGATACTGTATATATTTAAGAAGTTTGTATTTTCTTTTAAAAATTAGTGTAATTAAGAGCTCAAAATGCTCTTGTTCCTTTTTTTGCTTACCAAAAAGTTTTAGCCTACCAGAAAGTTTCATGCACCAATCAATTATGTCCACTTACTGTGGCTATCTTGCATTTTTTTCCTCATCAAATGGGTAGGGATTAGGATTATCAATTGATAAGAGACAGTTCCTCTGTGAATTTATGTACCCACAGCATAATCACAACAAGGATATCTCACCAATCAATTACCTCTGCAGTGGGCAAAAACTTTTTGGACATGAGATTTTAACACTAGGGCAGGCAAAAAAGGAACAAGAGCCATTCAGAGACTATAAATAATGGCAGATAGACATCTGAAACTTCAGTTCCCCCAACAAACACCGTCTGGAACCAGACAGGGTTTTGTATTAAATGGGGACATTTATAATGGACAGCATTAAAAAGTTGAGAAAACATAACACCAAATACAGAAGAGCCTTGCCAAACAAAAGACTGTTTGATTTCATGGTTTGATGAAGACATTTCACAGCAATCTATGAGAGTTTTAGAGAGAATGAGGAATTAAACAATAAATCACATTCACAAAGTCTCCAAAAAGCAAATGGCTTTGAGTGTCTGGTCTATTGAAAAGTAACCACACAATCACAGGACCAGATTTCAAATTCTGCTTTGGAAAAGGACTACACAGAGAAGTGGTACTCTAGTAGTAATAAATCTAAGTATAATGGCTGCACAAATGTGTACATGGGAAGAGGCATTTTACAAATCTTATTAACTCTTAACAAACAGCATAGTTGCATTGGAGCTTAAAAACAACTTGGCAACGCACATGATTTTTGCAAGTCTGCTCTGCAATGCCTTTCAGTAAAGAAAACAAACAGAGCACCCTTAAAGCCAACAATTAAAAAGAATAATTAACAGAAGACATTCTCCTAATTCTCCTTTTATGCTGGAATATCATTCTAATGTCCTTATGATTTTATTGCACAGCAGTTCTCCCACTGATTTAGTTAACTATCACTGGAAAATGTAGTCATTACAAAATGAAGAATTCCAGGATTCAGCATAACTACTCTAGTTGTTCTAGACAAAAATCATTGGTGGTGACTTCAGAAATACCCACAGAGTAAACCATATGCAGTCATAGTGGGATCAATTTTGGGTATGGATGAGTATGACTACTGTGTAGGACAGATATAAAAAGCACCAAAGGAAAACAGGTACCTTGTCTTAGCTGACCTGCAGGAAACCCTCCTCCAATTCTAGAAGTCAAATTTGCTGTTACCATAAGAAGTATTATCTATACCACCTGGCAGCACTGCACTAGAACAATAAGCTTTTACAGTGGCTGTCCTCCAGTTCTCAATAACCATGCATGGTAACATATAGACACTTGTACTCAAATGCAATTAAAGGTCCTCTTACAAAGAGACACTTATACCGTAGGCATAAGTTGCATCGACAGCTCAATAAAGTCTACGTTGCAAAGCAGGAAGATGACAGGATGCCAGCATCCATACGGATTCAGTCTCTGAGCAGCATTATACTCTCAAGAGTCTTGCATGGAGGATGGTTAAGGAAGCATCAAATTAGATTTAGAACTCTGAAGCCCAAAGATGACAGCTTTCTGTCTGGAGCAGTGATATAGTCTCAAAAGGTGTCTCTATAAATGTTGGATTTATAACCCTAGCCAAGTTCTAATAAGCTTCTTCATTAGCTGCCTTTAATAAAGTTCCCTTCCAATACGTAGCCTTCCCTATTTATCATATAACACATAATTAATAGAAGTAAAAAAAGTTATGCCACCATATACAGGCTAGAATTGAAGCAAAAACATTATTGAAGGGGCTCTTAAGTCTGCCTTATGTGCCACAGTACAAAAAGCGAATCCCCAAACTTACCTAACCCTTCTCATACTACAGGTAATAAAGGTGCAAGCATTTGAAAAGAGACTCATCAGAGTCACAACATACAAAATAAAGCCCTGGCTAGCTGATATTACTTATCACTTTATATGTTTTCCCTGTGCACATATAAGGTCATTTTAAAAATGTCTACAAAAAGAGCAGATTACCTGGACAAATTCACTTTCCCTAGAGAATGAGTTTCATAAAAATCCATTAGTTTTTTCTTCAGCAAGACATTAAGAGGCGACTCTTTGATATCCAAGGAATAAGCCTGCACGTCAGGGCCTACTGGAACATCAGTCTCAAAGCTCAGCAAAATCTTAAAACAACAAACTTAAGCAATTAACACAAAGTAGTGATGCCCCAGTTAAGGGAGCTCTCTCACTGCCCAGCCCTTGTCCTCAACTTCAAAGAAGATGGAGAAAAAATACGCACAGCCCTTCATTAAGTTCCTGCATTAGATAAAACAATCAAAAGGACAGCCCTGGGCAAGGCGAAGGCCTAAACTGGAGCCACCTCTGTGGACATTACTTTTTTTTTGGAAGGTGGGGACCTTAAGCTCCTCCTGAGACACAAGTGATTATTCATCACACTCCACATTTAAAGAGGCAGTGGTGGAGAAGATAGATGTGGGGAAGCTGACCAACCCCTCCGCCAGGGTGTCATGTTTCAAAGGCAAGCTCTTCTCAGTCATGGCTTCAAGTGGAAAGAGCCACGTGAAATCCAGAAAAGCAATCAGAATGACTGACAGGCGGGAGACCTACTTTGGCCAAGTCGATCCAGAACGTTAGGAGGCAGAGAGCCAAGAATCCCAGCTAATTCCAAACCTCCCTGCTGTCTCCTCTGCCTTGGGGACACCCTCCAAGGCAGCGTGGTCAAAAACGCACAGTTGAATTTGTTTGCAAATTCAATCCGGATCTAGCCGAAGTTGAATACCCACGCCCCCATCGGATTCCACTAAAGACGGCTGCCCTGGGCGCTTTCTCTTCCCTGGTGAATCTTAAGACGGGCTGCAGCGCTTATCCTTAGCTGGATCATTCCCCAGCAGTGACCAGATGGACGAGTATCAACAGAATCCACCCGCCCCACTCGTCCAGCCGGCAATCTCTTTACGCGCGCAACCCAGCCCGGTAGGACCGGCTCCCTGAGCAAACTGGCGCAGGCTCCTGGCTCCAAATTTCGATCGATCGATTGCCAGGCTCGAACTCCTCGGTTCCGCTAAGGCTACGGTGGTTATGTATCATGGGATTTGTAGTCCGACGCCTCGGGGAAGACACTAGTTAAGGGACGCCCACTCCAGAGAGTAACAGAATCTGATTTCTGGGGACGAGCCACTGAAGAACCGATGCACCACCCGTCACTGGAAATATTTGGGAGAGGCAACGCGCGGGTGTAGATTGTGTAAAAATGGAGCTGGGAAACGAACTCATAAAGGCGGTAGGCGCAGGTGTCGCAAGTGAACGGAACCTACGCACGTCTTGACTAAACCTCCACACACACGGGCAGACTGTGGTCGCTTTGGGGTAATTTCGGGAATCAAATCTGTTCTCCCGTAACTGAACACACTTAGCCCGGGTCCACTGCGTCTTTACAACACGCTTCAATTACCCTCCCTGCGCTCGCAAGCTTAACGAGATGAACTAAGATCCGCGGCGGAGGTTCACGACGGGGCGAGGAAGACCCGGCGCGGCTGCTCTGCCGCAAGCCCGCCAGCGACTCCGATCGCTTCCCCCCGCCATCATTAATAACGCCAATAGCAGCTCGAAAGAGTGACAGAAATCCCACAGGAGGAGGGGGGCGGGTTAGGGGTAGGCGCACCGGTCGAACCTGCCCAGACTCACCCCTTTCCCTCTCCTTCCCGTCTACCCAGCTCGATCACTTACTTGTCGTATTCTTGTGTCATGTCTGGCAGTCAGTGGGTGGCAGAACTGGCCTGGCTGGTTGGGACGGGAACTCGCTGCGGCCCAGGCGAGTAGGGAGGGGATGAGGAAGAGCAAGGAAGAGCAGCGAAGGAAAGATCGTACACAGATCGCCGCACAAACGGGTTTTGTCGGCTTTTCTCGCTCGCTCAGGTGGCTCCCGGGAGTCGCAGGTGGAATCGCAACTGCGCCTCGCTTCCCATTGGCTTGCGCCGAGAGGCTGGTGCTGGGTGGGATGGAACGACAGCGGAGCAACGCCCCGGCGGCACGCCCGATTGGAGGAGGATGGAGGAGAGGGCGGGGCCAGGTGGTGTTGCCGAGTTCCAAATGGAACTTTCGGGGCTGCTGTGTTTCGTGCTGCTGGCGGCGGGTCCAGTCGGATCCCGCAGAAGTTCTGTGAACGTAGCGTTGTCGTGCCGCAGCTTCTACGGCATGGTCCAGGCTCCCCTTGGACCTCCCCACTGCCGTCGACAAGAAGGGGCCAAATTATCCAAAACCCCCTTCCACGCGGGGTTGAGAGAGACGCAAGATCAGGATGAAGATTGAAGTGTGTCCTAAGTGTGTCACTGACGGTGATTCACAGGGGCGGGGGTGCAGATTTCTGCGTCCGTGCGTTTGTTTCACTTGCTTGAGCTAAATCCAAACCTGTTCCCTGATTTCACTTTTATTTAGAATACGGGAGCTATTGCATATATTTAAATTTCTATTTGCTACCTTTCTGATAGGGTAACCCCTGATCACGTATCTCGAAGAAGTGCGCCTAAAATCTGTATACTAGGTACCGTTTTTACTTGTAAAAAAAAAAAGCCAATAATGCAAAACAAACTAAACATCAACCTGAAAGATGCATATCCTGCATTGGAGCTTTATGCAAACAGTTGACTAGTCTACCAGAGTATTCCAGAACTTTAATGCTGCTAATTAACCGATCCACTTTTGGTTCGCTTTCCAACTTCTGAGGACTGAGATAGGGCCTTATGTGACACTCTCTGAAGAGCGTCAGGTTCGTGTAGGAACTCTGTAAACAAAATCATACCGATTTCTATCCTAACTTCCCCGTAAAGTGGATTGGGTAAAGAGACTTGCCCAAGGCAAGTATCTTGATGAAGTTCTGAATTTAGATACCTGTTTATTACTACATTGAAATATGGGTAAGATCAGTCATTAATGAAGGACTAAAATTATTCCCATAACATAAAAAGGTGCCACCCTGTAAAACCTAATTGGGCATTTTCTTTCATGCTGCTTGTATATTTGCATACTAGAGTCTTGTATATCAGCTCCATTTGTCCATAGTTTAGAATTTTATTACCACTATAAGCTTCCATAATTACACATTCAAAATTTAATACACTTAAATTGCCAGATGAAACATTTAACATTCAAATCATGTATAAATCATGATTTAAATGTTCAGTAATAAAATCAGCAAATGTTACACTCCAGTGAATGGTAATAATGGAGGAATCAGATAGGAGTTTGGGGGGAAATTGTGCACTATTCTAAAATGAATGGCATGGGGGAATTCAGTTGTATAACATGAATTGATGGGTGAAAACAAAACAACATAGAAAAACGTTATTTGGTTACTTGGGGACCCCAGAATGAATGAGACTGGTGACTCTTTGCTTGAGAAAAAGATCTATTGTTTTGACTATATGGTTTAAACATAAGTTTATTCATGTATAGACAGGCAAAGGAATGAATATGATTCTAAAAACATGATTTATTAATTTGTTTACAATGAATGATTGAATTAGTGAAGGATACAACAATGGTGAGAGGCTCCAACTGTGGGGAAGACAATTTCTTGGTAGTGTCAAGAGGGGATCTCAGGAAAAAAATGTACATGGAAGAAAATGAGCATAAAAATAGAATTGTGGGAAGAGAAAATTTGAATCCTGTATGAAAAAATATTAGTAGACAGATGAATCTCTCAACAGAATAAATGGAAAGTGAGGACTGGAATGTGTTTGGGTCAGAATGAAAAGCACATTACAGACTGCAATAGAAGTACGAAGAGTTACATTAATGGGAAATATAGAAAAAAGATGCTTAGAGGAATGATGAAGTGAAAGTAGCTGTGGAGAAGGAAAAATGCATAGTGCAGAAATGAGTCTGAGAGAAAGATGCTGTTTGATGAGCAGAGACAGAAAACGATGGTTGCAACGAATGTAGTAAAACAACAAGGAACGGTTCAGGAGAGGCAGAAAAATGCAGAATGATTCTGACTGCTTGCCTTAGTAAAGTATTTTACTAAAGACATGAATGGTAAAACAGCCAAATGCTAGTCAAAAGGTAGCAGGTAGTGTGTGCTCTGTTGTGAAGAATGTTTGTTGCAGGAAGCTAAAATGGCTGTGAGAGGAATCTGTGACTGTCTACTTTATCATTAGAAGTGAGGATTGGATTTGTCAAGAAAACATAAAAATAAGTGGAATGCAAGTGGGATTGTTAAGAAGTAGGTGTGGTGAAACAAGGAGAGACAAGAAAAAATGAGGGGGCTGAATGAATGTGGATTGAATTCAATAGTGTCCAAGCTGTACACTGATGTGATTTGGTTAGACTGAGAAAAGGAGCATGCAATTGCAAAACAAAGAAATGAAAGAAGAATGAATGGGACAAGGGGAAGGAAAGAAAGTCAGAGTTGATGGAGTTGGTGAGATGCTTGAAAGGAGAGAAATCTAAAGAATAAAAATTAATGTATGAAGAAAAGTATGGACAGAGAGGTGTGGAAAGGAAAAAGGATAGGTGTGGTGAGGTACAGTGTATGGTGTTGGTGTAATAAACCAAATTTAACTGTATTTTCTTATCTTGGGCTTTTAATTTTGAGGGCTTGCATTTCTTGCTTCTCTGCATTCTCTATAATATTGCTTAGCCCAAACAAAGAGCATGATGGGTAGGTATTGGGGGTGTTCACTGGAGGAGGAAGAATCGAAAAAGTCAACATGGTGGTCATGGCTGTGTAATCCAAGCCCTGGCCCTTTATTACATGCATCATCTTGGGTTTTTTGACGTTTGCTGTGAATACCATTGGTACATACGTATTTATGAATGCTTAAATTAGCATTTTAGTTCATTCTTCCTTCCACATATACATGTGTGTGTATGTGTTGTGTATATGTATATGTATATGTATATTCTGAGTCTGGAACAAACTTTGTAATCAAACCTAACTGTATATTTTTCCAGAATTCTCAGTTGTTTATTATGTATTTATTAGATAAATAAACTGCTTTCTCCCTAAAGAGCTCAGAGCGATCCATTATTTTATCTTCCCAACAGCTATGTGAATTAC